ACCACTTTTTAGTTCAAGCTACCACCACTATAACTACATTCATGGTTTTATCATTCTCCCACCACCGTTACTAATCATTTCTACCAATCTGCAATTTCTTCCAATTTACAATAACTATTAGCTAACTATCATTGTCTCCAATCCCTTGAAACATTACTATCATATCATATAGACCCGTTATTAAATTGAACCACCCTCTCACCCAGTATATTAAACATCACCATATAAATTAAGGATTACAAATTTTTACCTGTTACATATACACAGTCACCAAAAACAAACAAATAACCAGCTTTAAATATAACAAATAAACCCCCATTTTTTTTTTTCAAAATTTAAAAATAAATATAAATAATAATAATAATAATTTTTACCTATCATAATTTTACATTAAACCCCACCACACGTATATACATACATGCGAGGAAAATATTTTTCAGCGAAAAAAAAAAAAAAAAAAAAAAAATTCATAATATGACATGGATACATTCACGAGACATTAACGAGACATTTCCGCCACACTTCCAATGTTTAAATTTCAAATGCGTATGTATAGACATAACACCACCCGTATACATACATGTGTCATAGCCGAAACTGTCTACATATGTTTATATATATGTATGAGTCCCGACGGACGACCAAGTATGTATATGTGTCTGCATACATCGATGTTTGCGTTAGTACGATGAATGACAAAACGACGAAATTTCCCCACCACTTCCACAATAACACCAATACACGCAATCTACATAAACCCAAATTTTTAAAACATTAATCAGTTTGTCTGACGATCGCTAAAGCGTGAAACCCAGGGTCACAAACTCACATCTATCCAACCAAATATGTTAGCTCTATCTCTGATATTGAGCGCTTTTTATAAGTACCGCGCATATAATATATAAATAATTATACATATATATATTTATTTATATTTATATACACTTTTCACACACACACACACACACACACACACATATATATATATATATATATATATATATATATATATATATATGAACTAAAATGCCCCAATTAACTTTAAGAAAATATATTCGAAATTAAGGATATATTGACATTTATAAACTAATTTTTCTTGACGAAGAAGAAGAAGTAGAAGAGAAGAAACAACAACAACGCTGGGAATTACACTAGACATGCAAATTAATTTAAATGTGTTTCTTTATATTTTTAAAGATCGACGTTGACATTGACCATTTTTTTAAATTAATTTTTAACAGTTGAGTATATGATTTTTTTCAAATTGTATAAATGAAAATAAAATATTTTTTTTTTACAAGTGCCTGATAAATGAAATGAAACGATAAGATAAAAAGATGTGGTAACATGTTTATATAACCACCTGCTGTGCAATGACTTCAAAGCTTTCTTCATACAATATGACTCCTTCGTGTATGGAATAACAGAAAGAACGTTTTTTCTTTGTGAACTGCGTTAAAATACACGCTCTGTATCAAAAATCAATTTATTTATTTATTTTAAAGACGCCATATTTACGGACAAACACCAATACATTAAATAAGCAAGTGGCAATTCATATCCTTATATCTCGGAGGACTAACAAACGTTTTAAATGCAACGTAACTTCAAGACGTATGTGATCCCGGCTCTCCACAGTTTCCTTTATTATGTGCGAATTGCCATGACTTATTAGGAAAGATAGCGGAGTGGTTTCTTATTATTAAGATGTAAAATTGTTTCTTACTCACTTCTGTAGTTTCGCCAATTTGTCTCTTCGAACAGAAAGCACTTCAGAACAATTTTGCCTTATAAATCCAATCAATGTATCTTATATATCCTGGAAGATTTTAAAATGATCAAAACCGTTAATTTCGTGCCAGGTGTATTAACATTCTTTTGTGTTTACACTTCCCTAATATTTCAATCCTTTAAGAAATTAATCTTGGAAAGGTAGCTATTATTACTGTTCGTATTGTGTAGCGTTTACACGTTTATTCTTATTGTAGTTAACTCCTGCTTGGTGGTGTGTAAGCCGAGTACTTTTCACATATACAGTTTCGTTATTTTTGTGTAGTAAAGACACGTATATATATATATATATATATATATATATATATATATATATATATATATATATATAATATCGGCCTATCAGCCTCCTTAGTATCATTAGCAAACTTTTTGAAGTTATAAACAAGAAAGTTATTGAACACCTTAAAAAAAAAAAAAAAAAAAAAAAAAACACTCCCGGGCGACAAACTATGGTTTTCGCTCTTCAAGGTCTACTGCTGAGGTTTTATTATCACGCATAGAATCAGTGAACCTCTTGGCAATAAAAAAAATATTTCGAAAGTGATTGCCCAACATTTTTCGTATCCCCTTGACAAGGTATAGCACAAGGGATTGCTACACAAACTGATCAGCTATGGGATCTCTGAGAGAGTCATATCAAGGACACATGGCACAGTGGATAAAGGCGTTAGTTAGATCAAGTGACAGGACCCAAAGAGTGTGAGTTTAATACCCGGTTAAGGCAGTGGAAAACTTGGAGAGGGGAATCAACAGGAGATAACTGACAACTGACATCCATTAAATATGGCACGTGGAACTAGAAGTCTACCCCAGTGAGCGAAATAAAGGGTTCAGCTCGACATTCCAACCACCTGAAGAAGGCCGGAGAATACAACGGCCGAAACGTTGTAATAGATATGGCGACAAAGATGAGGACAATAGTCTGAATAATGTAAATAGAGTCATATCAGTTATCAAGTCTTTCCTGTCAGGTAGGTCATCGTTAATTGCCAGTCCACCGTGGTACATAAGATCAATGCTGGCGTACCCCAAGGCTCTCTCCTCGGCTCTACCCTCTTTCTGACTTGTATCAACAATCTGTCCAAGAACATTCTCAAATCCTTACTAAATATATATGCAGATCATACCACAGTGTATGAGTGCACCCACCTGGCAGCTGATCACTCCTCTGATCTATCTGACACAGCTCAATGGAGAAAAGACTGGCTGGTATCATTTAATGCATCCAAAACTAAACTCGTAACTTTTCATCACCAACTGCAGCAGTCCTGATGAGTGGTCATGCCCACAAAGAGGTTTCTTGCCACGAACGCCAACTGGGTCTAAAGCTTAATCCTGGTCTCAAATGGAACGCGTATATTCGGTGTCATGGCAAAAGATGTTGGAAGAATGGTCTGTTCCTTGAATAGTCCAGAAAATCTCGCTTCTATTGCGCTTTCTTTACAAGAGTCAGATTAGATCAAGAATGGTATATTGCTTCCATATCTGGGGCCGGTGTTGTCCAATCCTCACTGTCCAACTTCGACAGAATTCAAAAGCGCTTGTCGTGGATAAATTAATCTCTACCCTACAACTCTTACCCCACAGACGGTATGTTGCCAGCCTTTCATACTATATAATGATTACGATGACAGATATCCGGACGAGTTATATTCTTTAGTTCCACCATTTCTGACCTTCACAGCTCGGATCCCACCCTGCCGTCATGTTCTTAGTGGCAAATTCTACCCAATCCCTTTGTGTTTCTTTGACAAAGAACACGTTCCACTCAAAAAGCTTCTTCTCCAGTATTGTTTCTTTTTGGAACAGACTCACGGGAGAATGCTTCCTTGACAACTACAATTTTGGTCTCTTCAAGTTCAGGGTCACCTGATATATATCCTACACGTCCTTATAATATGCAGTTCTTAATTCTTTCTTTCCCCTTCCTTACAACACTTAGTAATCCTTTATCTTGAAGGGCTCTTGGGTCTTGTATTGAGCGAACTATCAGTGTATATCAGAATGAGAGGATAAATAATAAACCGATATATATTAACAGGTATTTTCTTTTGTGTTTACAATTCACAAGCATTTTATTCCTTTTAAGAAATATTTTATTATTCTTAATCCAATATTATTTGTTATAACTATAAACGTTATATTTAGTTGGTACCCATCTTTGAGTTAGACGCCTCTGTTTTAATGTGTATCTGCCTAGAAATCGAAAGTTTAATAATAATAAAATTGTGCCTCCCGACGGGAATCAGACATGTATTCCCTTGGTAAAATTTTCCATCTCTAGGTTGATAGACATTAATTTCATTGTTTAAAAAGTAGGGATGTCTACTGAATGACGTCTACCGAGAAAAGCTAGCTAGCTAGATTTATTGAATAAAGAAGGTAAACTTAAATAGATCTCAGATTAAAGCGTTATCACAATGAAAAGTCATTTTTATTACCAAACATTAAACAATTTCGCAAGGAATAATAACCGTAACATTTTCTCTCCACAGAAATCACTGAATGTATTAACAACTACTTTGTAGCAATAAACACATTCAAAATTTAAGCTTGTAGTCACATTAATTAATAAAACGATGTTAAGAGCTTTGCTTGTTTACAAAAGATTTGATTGTTTATATAATAGGAAATTAACTGGCAACATCAAGTGCCCAATGTTTTTATTAAAAAGTTTAAAAAGTCCTAGTGTGCTTTAGTTTTATAAAAAAAAAAACAGGAAACACACCTAAAATATTAGGATTTGATAGTGAAATAAGTTAAGGATCATGTCAAATAATAATTAAAAAGAAACTAAGAATTTTACAAGTACAACATTTTAAAAATGAAAAGAAAAAAAATAAATTTCCGATTATTTTACAAATGTATGCAATTTTAATCCGTTCTATTAAGTTTTCAGTTTAAAAATATACAGTCGGGGAAATTAAGTTTTTGACCACTTACAAAATATTTATTATACCTCTAATACTTATATTTACTTAATTGGGTGATGTACATTATAAAATTAACAATTACGAGGAAGTGTTGAAAAGTTGTTGGCTTCATTCATTTCTACGCATCAGAATTTCTTTTGAAATCACTTTCTGGTTGGACTAAAAACTTTTCAGCATTTCCACAGAGAAAAATTCAAATTTTCAAACATGCAAAAGAAAGCAGAATGAAACGAAAATCACGGTGGAAAAAAGTCTTCGGGCACAATGAGGCTTACGGACACATCACGTTGAAACACTGGTTCGCGGACGATCACCGAAGTTAAACAACGTCGTGCTTGGTCAATACCTAGATAGGTGACCGCCTGGGAATATCGGGTGCTGTAAGCTTGGATGTGCAATAAATAAAGGCTTGGAATTGTTAATCGGGGAGCCAATTTCCAATTCCTGTTGAATCCGTTATATTCACTCGCGCACAAATACCCTTGGGAAAGGGTATAAATCTTTTGTACCCCAGCTATAGGTTAACTAATAACACCATTATTATCTAAAAAAAGAAAACGAATCGATCAATCAATGTGGATCATTGATTTCATATTTTAATGCTGTTTCGCAATTATCTTTGAACAAATTGCTGAATATTGGGGTTTTGAATTTCTTCGGCCGTGTAGAACCTGGGTGTAGCCACTACGTTGGATTGTTGTTCGGTTTCTGGATTCTCTTTGTGTTTTCCGTAGGATTGGTGCCCCAATTTTAGCAAAATATTTTGTGACGATTTTCTGATGTTTGTGAATTTATTATCTTCAAATATTTACAATTCAGCTAAAATGATTTTGTTTTACAACTTTCAATCGAATTTCTTTTCCTAGTTTAATCTGAAAATTTAAGAAAAGTAGTTAAATCGCTGAATTTTTTAAACGTTATGGCGGGCACGTTTTTTCATTTAGTTCACTTTAATATATATTCTGTACGAGGCAACGCATAAGTTTAATATACATTAATAATAATTTTTAACATGGGTTTGAATGTTTTTTGCTACTTTCATGTATACAATCGATGCCACGTCCTCACATATAGATAGGATATGATCTCACAATAAACTGAAAGTGTGGAATAACAAGTCACCAAATCAGAAATAAGTGAAATTGGTCACTTGCTTTGACAATGGTATTTTCCTGTTCCTTTCAATCGACTGAAAATCGCCTGAGATTTACACTAAGGGAAGCAAGATTCCTTCATCAGCACGAGTTACAAGTTTAAACAAAAATGAAGAAATCCAAATTGACTTTCCAAATAAACTTCACGGTAACATCTTAACATTTCTAATTGGTTCTGTTAATTAAAATCTCACATTACTGAATTAACATTTCATAGACTAGAAAATAATGAATACAAAAATATACGGTTAAGTTGCAATTTCATTTGTCTTTCTTATATTTTGTCAGGAAAGCAACAAAATAACGTAAGGTATTTACCAGAACAACAATAACATGAATCAGGTTTCGAAATCAAAGCTGACGTCAAGGTCATCAGCTGATAAATGCTTTGTTGATGACAACTATTGTGTAGAGGCATGTGTATTTGAAATCTGGAAGTAATTTATCATATTAATGTTTTTCCCTTGAATTTTTCACGCCAAAGCATTTTTCACAATGTTCAATTTGGTGGTAATTAACCAAAAAATCTTAAGTGCCTTATTCAAATCATTTAAGACATATTAAAGTGTATTGTCTGAAATCATATTCCTTGGTAGGTCACGTAAAAGACTTTAGAATGAAAACAAACTGATTAAATCAATGCAGATTTTTAAAAATCCGCAATGATTTAATATGAAATGTAAAAAAAGGAAAAGAAAAAATAGAAACCGCACTACATTGGAAGGTCTCACCCTCTCTTCCGACTCGTAGAAAGGAACCAAGCCATTGAGGTAAAGAGGTAGTGTAACTGTGGAAGCCATAAGATGCGGATAAAAGTTAACACTGACCGTGGAATGATTGCTGGAAACAAAAAATGACCATATCATCTCTGATACACCAGGTGCTTAGATTTTTCTCGAGCAACAATATATGAAGAATACAAATTTCAGACAGGCATCATTGACACGTGAAAACTACTAATGCCTATAAATAATACAAGAACGGAAGCGCTGACTACTGACAAGAATGACCGAACGAGGAGGAATATTGCACCAAGTCACATTTTAATTCGATTCTGGCGCTGATTAACCTATTAGTGTACTCTGCATTCGAGGAACATTCGGTTGATTCTATTGGCTACTGCCCTCTCCAGATTTAAACCCCATTAAGCATGTACGGAACACTAACATTCCTCTAATCATAACCAATAAGCACAACTCGGTTGTGGACATCCTTGATAGATATATCTCCATAAAAACACCAGCATCTCGTAGAATCCATACCACGTGGCATTATCATTGTTATCCAGAGTTAAAATGATGGCGCTACACTGTTTTCGCTTCAGTTTATGACAGACATTTTAGAAATCCATGTGAATCAGGTAAATTATTGGTTTATAGTCTTGGAAATGAGTGGTCAAAATATAGAAACTGAAATTAAAATCTTCTGGATTTTGTGTAGTTTTTGCTTCTTTTTTAAATTCAGGATCAAGTAAAACAGTTATTTCCTGCAATTCCTATTTTAATAAGGAAATGATTCCGAGTTCATAAAACTTGATTTACTAATTAGCTTCGACCTTCTTTTAAAAAATCTAATTTGAAATAATCAATCGGTTCTGTGAAAATGAAATATGGCACAAGACCAACTAATCAACTTAATTCAGGTTAACTATCCGATTCCTTTAGAGCAATTTTGTGGCATATTTGAACTCCTTTAAGGCAAGAACTCGCAATCTTAATAAAGCAGTAATGTTATTTAACCCTAAAAGGACACTTATAATCAGAATCAGAAAGAAACTGAGAAATTTCTTGAACACATGAGGAAGAAGAGCTTGAAGAATTTGATACTCACAGGGCATATCAAGGGTAAGAGGCACAGGGAGAGGAGGCAGACCACCTACTTGACGAGCATGTATGAATGAACTGCCTAATGGGTGGTTGGGAGGCTTGGCAAAGGGACAGATTTTGCAAAGGGTCACAAAGGATAGGTGGTTGTGGAGGGCCATGATTGACCACGTCCTAAAAGGAGAGATACGTAGAAGAAAAACCTTTGAACACCGAGTGGGCCAATTCATTTTTGATAAACGCATTTATCTTTTTATACAGATATTGACATTTTACATATATATATATATATATATATATATATATATATATACATTTAGATTCAATTGCAAATTCATTAGTTTTGATGATCCGCTTGTTTCTGTCACAACTTACTTTTGATGATATGACACAGCAGAATGTAAAATATTAACTGTTGCATTCTCAGTTCTATTTACCCACACAAATATCTGAATAGAGTAGATGCAAAAAGCTACAATTTTCTGCTTTAACACTTAAAATTTCTACCATGATTTGATTCTATATCAATATTTGTTCAAGTATTTTTCAATGTTTGAAGAAATGAATGTCTGAATTTTGTATCTGAGTGAATAGAAAAGGGGGCATTAAAATGGAAATGGATAAAAACTTGCCTGCTATAATTATGAATTACAGTAATATATTTTTCTTCACTTTTATTCCTTAATGGTTTACGCTTGTCCGAGTAAATTTATACAATTCGCAGTAGTGTTAAATTTTCTATACACCAACATGTGCATTTTATCACATTTGTTTACTCGGCGTATCATTTTTTTTTAAATGCTGAAAACATTTAAGTACAATTCAACTACATAATTACTATATTTATCTGCTAAATGTTGTGAACTCTTCTGGTGACGTAGGAAAATGTGTGAATACAAAGTCATAAATGTAGAGGAACATTGTTTTGTCTTCAGTTTTCTTGATTTACCAAAAACGTAACTTTCATATAATCAATAAAATATTTAACCTGATGTTTCGGCCGATATAGTCTTTGGTTGTTTTGAAGTTGTAATCGTTAACATGAAAGCGTTGTTAATTGAAATCGCTAAACAAAATAAAGGAAAAAAAAACAAACAAAAAAACATTAGAATAACACAGGTCGTGGCCAAATTTAAGGGTTCCATTCAAAATAACGTGGAGATTACCGTTTGCAACAAAGACAGTCGAACAGCGCATGACCTGAAAAGATGCTAATCAGAATATCAAAATAAAAAGTCTCTTGATCATCTAAGAGAAACTTTTTCGTCCTTCCATCAGCATAGCTGATGTTAACCTTCAAGAAAGTTACTACTTGCGCCTTCTCAGATTAACGTTTTCTGCTGATATGAAATAGAAAGATTATATTGAATCAGTTGCTAGGTCAGCTACCAGGTAAGTTGGTCCAGTGTATCATGCTAGATATTTTTTTTTTTTTGTACAGAATCTTACACATTTATGAATTTAAGCATACTACAAGATTGGCAGTTAGGTTCCATCATTTTACAGTTCAAATGGCTAGATGTAACCATAAGTTCTATGTTAACAGTTTCTTCTATTGCACTATTCACTTGTGGACTTCTCTTCCAGCCTCTTGCTTCCCAGTCAACTTTGATTTTCAACAATTTAAATGCAATGTCAATCGTTAACTTTTGTCTTCTTAATTCCTGTTCTTGTTCACCTTAATGGTTTGTTTTTCTCATATTTTTTGTCCCAATTTTACAAGGAAATTATCATTCACAAGTACATACCCATGGGAAAATGTAAGAATCCATATCCCCCTGCTATTGATTAAATAGTAAAAGAATGGACTTTTCAGCCTTGGCTGGCAACCAGTCTAGAATGATGACTGAATTTAAAAACCTTATATAGCCTAGGCGAAGTACGTACTATATGCAGTTAATGATAGGATTGCAGAGTTTACAATGACCATAGACGAATTCATAGTTGGGATCAATGTAGATTTTTAACAAGTTCAATAAATTATTTTAGTAATCATACTCAATAAATGAGTGACTGATGTGAGTCTTAAAGTAATTACACTTGTTAATTTCCATTCGTCTCTCCCTAATCAAAATATAAAACAAAGTGAACACTTTCTATCAGATGAATACTAGTTGTATCTTCTAAATAAGGTTAGGGGAATTCATTAATGTCTTTTAAAAGTCTATATAGCTCCTTTTTGCTTATCTAATCAGTCAAATGCAGTACATCATTTAAATGCCTTAATAGAAAAATTCAAAAGCTAAAATGTGGGTTTGATACAAAATTAATACAGAAAGAATTATTGATCAACATTTAAACATTTGTCCGTTTTTGGACAATGTATTCGCTGGGGATGAAAATCATTGTTATAACCAGACCAACTCTCAATATCTCAATCTACTGGTGATAGAAAGTCTTGATAAGAT